TGTACAGAATAGGTATGATGGCTCTGCTCATTATGAAATCAGGGAACGGACACAAAAATTAGGATATAAAAACATATTTAAAAAATGAACATATGAGGCAAATATTTCAAATGTTAAATGTCAGGCATGTATCTCAGAAAGATATAATTAGGCTGTTTCAGAAAAAGTATGATGTATTGATGGCCCTTATAAATGATAAATAAAAGCCATGAACAGAAAATGTCAAATTCATTTTGTGCAATAATGAATACCAATAAAGCAACTGTAAATGACTTACATGACATTTATGGTGTTCATTAATTACTACAAGTGTCACTAGTGGTTAAAAAAAAAAGTCAGAAAAAAAAGTTATATTAATTAAAAGCTGTAAAAAGAACAGACACAAATTATTTAGGTGTGTTTAGAATAAATATGATGGCCATCATTTGAGTCATTTATAACAATATTCAACAGGTTTTAGTAAAAACAGAATAACTAGATACTAAATAGTTGACCACCCCCTCCTCCTCAAAAAACTACACTCCCTCGGCCTCAGAGATTCCGCTCTCTCCTGGCTCTCGTCCTACCTATCACAACGCTCCTTCAGCGTTACCTATAATGCTACCACCTCCCCCTCACTCCCCCTCCCCTCTCTGTTGGCGTCCCTCAAGGCTCCGTCCTCGGGCCCCTTCTCTTCTCCATCTACACCTCCTCCCTTGACCAACTCATGCACTCTCACGGCTTCAACTACCACCTCTATGCCGACGACACACAAATCTATCTCTCAACCCCTCGCCTCACCCCCTCAGTCTCCACCCGAATCACAAACCTACTACATGACATATCAGACTGGATGTCGCTCCACTTCCTTGAACTGAGCCTCTCCAAAACCAAGCTCCTAGTCTTCCCCCCAGCCCGCACACCACCCCCCATTGACTTCTCCATCACGTCCAACAATGCCACTATCAGGCCCGCCCCGCAGGCCAGAGTACTTGGTGTCATTCTGGACTCCAACCTATCCTTCCAGCCCCAAGTCCAATCATTAACAAACTCATGCAGACTCCACCTCCGCAACATGGCCAAAATCCGCACATTCCTAACCCCAGAAACCACTAAACAGCTCATCTACTCCCTCATCATATCACTTCAGTCGATCCTGAATACGGCAGCCAGACTCATTCACCTTACCAACCGCTCCGTTTCCACCACCCCCCTCTGCCAATCCCTCCACTGGCTTCCGATTGCACAACGGATCAAATTCAAAATCCTATCACTGACGTACAAAGCTGTCCATCATACTGCCCCAAATTACATCACCGACCTAATATCCAAGTACCACCCAACACGCACACTCCGCTCCTCTCAAGACCTCCTTCTTTCTAGTTCCCTGGTCTCCTCCTCCCCATGCTCGCCTCCAGGATTACTCCAGGGCGTCACCCATCCTCTGGAACTCCCTACCCCAATCCATCAGGCTATCACCTACTCTCCTCTCATTTAGGCGCACCCTGAAAACCTACCTCTTCAGGGAAGCCTACCCCACCCCCTGCTAATTGCTGACCTCCTCCACTCTTCCTACTACTCCATCCCCCCCAGCTATCTCTCCTGTACCACTATCCCCTCCCTCCTAGATTGTAAGCTCGAAGGAGCAGGGCCCTCGAACCCTCGTGTATCACATTGTATTGTTATTGTACTGTCGCATGTACTGTCTCCCATTGTAATGTACAGCGCTGAGCAAACTATTGGCGCTTTATAAATACTGTATAATAATAATAATAAATATTGTTTATATTTGCTGACTTGCAAAATGAGACACTGGGCTTCCTCTGGTAGCTGGTTATGGGCCAAAACTTAGGTTTTGGTCACATGGTATTTGCAAAAAAGGCTTTAAGACAATGATATTCAGGCAGAGACAGCCAATTAGCAGTTCTGCCTGAACAATGAGCCATTAAAGTAGAGTGTAACCCCTTGTAGCAGCCTCTTCACTTTTTGATTTGCCCTTTTCACTCTTACAAAAAATGTTTAAAAAAATGTTGTACCTTGCGCTTGTGTATTTTTGTGCTCCAAGGCAGCACCTCCTGCTTCTTGGCTTAAGCCGGGCCCTGCTGCCTCCTAGGATTGCTCCATCAAAGCTATCCCAGGAGGAAGTGTTTTGTGCATCTCTGCATGTGTGAGTTTTCTCTGTATGTGCATAAGAGCCATGAGCAACTAGTGTGCTCATACACAAGGAACTGACAACAATTGTGCACATGCTCAAAAAACTGTGCACAGTTGGATTTTTGGACATAGAAGATTCTTATGAAAATATAAGGACACTTGGAATTTACCATTATTTTATGTGTTGTAGTTATGGGTGTGGATTGTTTCAGATATATCGGGATGAGTTAAACTCATATATTTTATGCATGATTCTATGTTTTGATATATGCGCATATGATACACGCATGTCCACTGAACATACTTTATTATAAGATTTCATTTTATGGGGGATTTTTATCGTTTGTAGTTATGGGTGTGGGTTTTTTCAGATATATGGTGATGAGTAAAATGCATATATTTTACATATGATTCTATGTTTTGACATATATATACGCATATGATACACGCCTGTCCACTGTACATACTTTATTATAAGATTTAGTTTGAGTATTGTTCCAGATATATTGTGATGACATAAACACATACGTTCTACACATGTTCTATGTTTGGACATAAATGCATGGGATACACACATATCCACCTAATTATTATTATTATACAGTATTTATAAAGCGCTAATAGTTCGCTCAGCGCTGTACATTATAAAGGGGAACAGAACAACAACAATACAATGCAAAACATGAGGGGATCGAGGGCCCTGCTCTTTCGAGCTTACAATCTAGGAGGGAGGGGATGGTGGCACAGGAGGAGATAGCTGTGGGGGATGGGGTGGTAGGAAGAGTGGCGAGGTTGGCAAGTTAGCAGGGGTGGGGTAGGCTTCCCTGAAGTGGTGGGTTTTCTGGGTGCGCCTAAAGGAGAGGAGAGTAGGTGATAATCTGATGGGTTGGGGCAGGGAGTTCCAGAGGATGGGTGACGCCCTGGAGAAATCCTGGAGGCGAGCATGGGAGGAGGAGACCAGGGAACTAGAGAGAAGGAGGTCTTGAGAGGAGCGGAGTGTGCGTGTTGGGTGGTACTTGGATATTAGGTCGGTGATGTAATTTGGGGCAGTATGATGGACAGCTTTGTACGTCAGTGATAGGATTTTGAATTTGATCCGTTGCGCAATCGGAAGCCAGTGGAGGGATTGGCAGAGGGGGGTGGCGGAAATGGAGCGGTTGTAAAGGTGAATGAGTCTGGCTGCCGTATTCAGGATCGACTGAAGCGGGGATAGCCAGCGGCGAGGCAGGCCAGTGAGGAGGGAGTTGCAGTAATCGAGTTGTGATATGATGAGGGAGTGGATGAGCTGTTTAGTGGTTTCTGGGGTTAGGAACGTGCGTATTTTGGCGATGTTGCGGAGGTGGAGTCTGCACGAGCTTGTTAAAGATTGGACTTGGGGCTGGAAGGGTAGTTTGGAGTCCAGAATGACACCAAGTACTCTGGCCTGCGGGCGGGTTTGATGGTGGCGTTGTTGGACATGATGGAGAAGTCAATGGGGGGTGGTGTCCGGGCTGGGGGAAGACAAGAAACTCGGTTTTGGAGAGGTTCAGTTTAAGAAGTGGAGCGACATCCGGTCTGATATGTCGTTTAGTAGATTTGTGATTCGGGCGGAGACTGAGGGGGTGAGGAGAGGGGTTGAGAGATAGATTTGTGTGTTGTCGGCATAGAGGTGGTAGTTGAAGCCGTGAGAGTGTATGAGTTGGCCAAGGGAGGAGGTGTAGATGGAGAAGAGAAGGGGCCCGAGGACGGAGACTTGAGGGACCCCAACAGAGAGGGGGGAGTGAGGGGGAGGTGGTAGTATTATAGGGAACGCTGAAAGAGCGCTGTGACAGGTAGGATGAGAACCAGGAGAGAGCAGAATCTCTGAGGCCAAGGGAGTGTAGTTTTTTGAGGAGGAGGGGGTGGTCGACTGTGTCGAAGGCCGCAGAGAGGTCAAGGAGTAGGAGCACTGAATAGTGGCCATTAGCTTTGGCGGTTAGCAGGTCGTTGGAGAGTTTAAGTAAGGCAGTTTCGGTGGAGTGTAGGGGACGGAAGCCAGACTGTAGTGGATCGAGGAGGTTGTTGTCGTTGAGGTGAGAGCTTAGGCGGGTGTAGACTAGGCGCTCGAGGAGTTCGGATGTAAATGGGAGCAGGGAGATGGGTCTGAGGTTGTTCGGGTCATTGGGGTCCAGGGAGGGCTTTTTAAGTATGGGGGTGATGTGTGCATGTTTCAGAGGGGAGGGGTAATATCTTTATTATATAATTTTTTGTGATATTGCACAGAACATAACAATTTATCACTAGGAAGATTTGGTACTGTGTGGCACTTATACTGTTTTTTTGTGGAAACACAAAAAGTGTGAGCAGAAATACTAACATTAGTTATACATAGCTTTTAGATATTATTTTCTTTCATTAGTTTGCACTGTCTTAGGGTGATTGCGCTGAGGTTTTTCACTATAGTATTTTATATAATGTGCGGCTTTACTGCTCAATATCACAAACTAGGTTTCACCCTTGTAACTGGACATGTTATTTAGATGTAAATGACGCTTTTTTATGTTGTTAGAATTTGTGGTCTTTTCAGAACACATAATACTTTGCTGATGACTAGCTGGAGTTATCCAGGAGGAACAGACACAATTTCAGCTTTCCCTGCAAACACCAAATTATGTACTAATGTGTTTATTTGTCTAAGGCAGCCAGTGTGAAATGCGTTCATACTATGTGACTTATTTATTTTAAGTAAGTATTTCAAGCACATGCTACCAGTGTCTAAAACTATAATAGCTGTCTCCCAGGATTACAGCAAATATCCACATGTCAAAATAAATTGAGGCAAACCTCATACTTACAACAGAAATATTTACTTCTGGTGGTAAAACTGATCCTCCAATTCTTAATTCTAAATTCTTTGTATTCCGCACTGACACCTGATGGAGAGGACAAGATTATAATTCTCATGGTGTTTATCATATAATGACACAATAAAATGGCTATTCATATCAATGATAAACCTTGGAAGTGGGACTCCAGAAAAAAAAACATACACAGTTGAAACAAAATACAGTATGTTTACTGTATTATTTGCCAAGGCATTTTCAATTCTGTACAGCCATTGTGCACCTCTGCCATACAGTACAGCCAGGAAGGTGACACACTTATTATGTTTCATCAGAATTTGCCCCCTGGTCCTGTACTAATAAGATATGTTGGTCTGGTGAGTTGAGATACTACACCATTCAGAGATTGATCAAACTGAAACCCAGGCAGTAAAAATTGGTAGGAATTATACACCTGTGTTCTACCTGTTTAGAACTGTGATCACAGTGGTCTTCCAGCACCACCTTGCTTTGCAGATATTTGATGTCATGTGACTGAAGCGAAGAGCCACAAAGGATGCAAAAATATGTGAAAAGGGGTTTCACAATAAACCATGTCAGGATATAGGTGAACGCTAGTGATGTAGGTAAAAAGTGATGTAGATGAAAACCTATATGTTAACTCTAGCGAAATTAATTTAAGATAAAAAACAAAAAGTAATAATAATGATATAACATTAATATTGAACCAGTACAAGCAAGGGTGCCCATTTTTCCTCCTGCAGTTTTTTTTACTTCGTTGTCTAAGTACTGCAGTAAGAGGGGAGCGAGTGGGGGGCACATCCATTAGGAGTAAGAATCCAAAGTAGAGGAAGAAAAATTGTGAATTACAATAGGGTGATGACACTGTTGTCCCTAAGGCAAGAGTCATACTGCGTTAAAAACAGTATAGTCTGGTTATCATTGCAATAATCCATGGCTCATATTGTATAACCAACCTGCCACACAGCTCCCTTCCCCTGCCACCCATTGTTTACTGGCATGTGCATTGTGTTTTTCACTGTATCCTCCATTAGTTTCACTGAGGAGATGCATTTTTGGCTGCAACACTCTGATTCACTGACTAGGAGTCTAATTCCAACTGTATTTTGTATGAGGCCTAATGTTGGCTATACCCCTGGTGATTTGTTGGCAATTCTGAATCAGCTTTCAACCCCAGCAATTTGCACAAAAATCTATTTCCAGTTTTAAGTGAGCGGACAAATAAAATTGGCATGGAAATCAATCAGTGCAGAGGTTTTAATAGATTTGTATAACTTAAATCCTTCAGTTCCTCCAAAAGTGGCAAATGTATGGCCAGCATAAGAGAAAAAATGGGTCAATGGATGATCTAACTGGCATTTGCCAAAAACTAAAATATTAGTCCTAAATCAATCTTTAAATTTCCCAACATAAGACATCCCATACACAAACAAATAAAATGTTCTGGAATTAAGCTTTCATCAGTTTTTACCTCAACTCTAGTGTCAAACTTCATAACTGCTCTTGGCGTGAAGAAGATTTTAAGAGTCGCATAACCTCCCACTGGCACCACACCCTGTGATGGTGTAATCATCATACCAGGCAGTGGACTTATATCTACTACCTGCAGCAAACAAATAAAAGCAAACTCTATTAGATGAGTGTTATACCTACAAAAAGATTTATGCTATATAGATTAACAATATTTTTGTACTTACTGTAAAATCTTTCTCAAAGCCCTATATATTGGCTATTGTGCATAAAACTATAATAAACATTTTAATCAAAGTGCAGTATTATACAACAATGTGCATAAATAAAGTGTCCATGTGCATCCATTTTTCCACAGCATTTTTCAGACTGATTGCTCTCAATAAAGTGTCCATGTAAAAAGTGCTCTCTTCAAGCAAATTATAGATGTTATGCCTTTTTGTGTCATACAGTGCTTCTGTGATCGTCCACCACCAACACAGAAAACTCACCAGATTTATTTGACTACCTATCACAGGTTAGTGATGAAGTGCTTAAAGTGTTACTAAACCCACAACAGTAAAATCAGTCTGTATATGCAGTAAAGCATGCTTGTTATATTCACTGTGGAACCTAAGGGGTTAATCCTCTGCATTGTGTACAAAGGCTGCTTGATCCTGACTCCTCTGATCCTACCCTTCGTTCAGTCCCCCCCCCCCCCTTTTATCTCCTGATAAGACATAGTGTGTGAAGTCACTCTGCACATGCCCAGTTTGGTGTGTATTGCTAGAGAGGTTTTTTTTTTCTTGGGAGAGTGCATGTGGTCAGCACAATGAGCATTCTCCAGACAAAGGTCAGGGGTTCTGCATCTTCCTAGAGCAAAATGAAAACTCCTCCTACAAGCTTTAACATGTGCTCTGCTGGACACTGATAGAAGTCACAAGACTGCTCTAACTGCTGATGAGAAAAGGTATTTTGCAGTATATATTTACTGAAATAATTGCATTTCCATGTTCTGTGTACCATGGGAGGCCAGATATAGTGAATGCAGGGTCCTGGGTTTAGTAATAGTTTCATAACAGAGGTGTACACCATCCATTTCCCTTTAGGGCAACTGTATTTCTTCCACTTACAAAAAATTAATGTGGCATATAGGGAGAGATAGAGGAAGACCACCATAGTGTAAAAAATTAAAAAAAGCGTTATTATATAAAATATTTCCACAACGCCTTCTCCCATTAGCAGGTGCATCTCCTTGCACCAGGATAAATACATATACTCTAGTAAATTAGGGGTGGTAGGATGTTGCTCAGTAATACACTACCTTCCCAGCCACCTTCCTTCTTCCTTCCGATTCCTGGATGCAACACTTCTGGTTTCCTGGAAGAAGACAGGGTAGGTAGGGAAGAGAGTATACAACTCTCTACAACACTCTTGAACTTAAACTAGACTGATGTGTAGGAACACCAGGACTACAAGGAGAAGGGCTGCTTTCAACCAACATCCAGAAGTGTTCCAGGAATGTGATAGCCACACAGAAGGCTGCCTAACATGGCAGTCCTTGTGGTCACAGGGGAGGTCCCAACCTCACCCAACAGAGCTAAAGAAGACTCTGCAGAGGAAAATCTTATAATAGGGGTCCCAGGTTATAGACTGCAGGTGTCAGTTCCTTTTGCAGATACTGAATGAACACTCTGTTTTAATGCTTAATTGTTAGATGGTGTATTTTTCTTTTTACTAGCTAGCTGGTAAGTGTGCTGAGAAATATATTTTGCACTTTCATATAAACCTTGCTCTACAAGCTAGCTTTGAAGTAAACACCCTTAGAACTAGTAGGGAAGTATGGGCCTCCCTTTTTGGCAGGACTGTCCTCTGTGCATCTTTGGGAAGACATGCTGAACAGCATAGTCATAAAGGCAAGGCCTCACATGCTCCTAAACCCAAGCAGCTGGGGCAGTGTGATGGTTGCAAGTGATCAAAGGTGACAAAGTCACTGTAGGCGGGAAGTGGAACAAGACCAGAAACCATGTGATCTACGTGGTGTACTATTAGTGTTCTGGTGTCAACCCAAAATTTTGGATTTTCTTTAACTTTCACTTTTGATGATAATGGTGAACAGGACTAAAAGACTAACTCTCCTTAATAGGGGTACAGACTGAATTAAAAGCTGACAGGTTCCTCATCCCTCTCTACTCTATCCAAAACCCCCCAAAAAGTTTTGCCTTTAGTTACACTTTATTGGTCAATAAAGAAAATATTATTATTATAAATAATAATAATAGAACAATGTAAGTGCAATCTAGTGTAAAACAACGTAGGTTGTAGTTTTGATAACTAGCAGCTGAAGTTCCCAAAAATTTAAATCAAGAAAGAAAGAAGAAACCTAGAACATAGTTTTCTGCTTTTTTCTATTTCATCCTTTGAAAGACCTAAGAATGCATCTGCAGTATGTTCAACTGAGATTACCCATTCCAATCGATTACAATCCACTATGAAATACTGTTTTCTACCTGGAAATATGCATGATTCATTCCTGTATTCTGAATAATGGCTGTTTTGTAAGTTGTCAGACCAAGTGGGGCATGATGAAAGAGCACTCTCTGTTCAGTAAACTGGACACTCGTGGATCCAAGCTGTAATTTCAGGAAGAAGCCAAGATTAGTTATTGTGGTCACATGGGTATATGGTATACATGGGAACTAGAATAGTATATCTAAAACTGGCAAGATATCAGCCCAGCTTTGTGTTTGATTACACATAACTTTCAGGAAAAAAGAATGCAAATTACACATATAATTTCGTTACAAAAAAAAAGTAAAAACTTTTTATTTATTTCTTTTTATTAGAGTGGGAGAAAAGTAACCTGTTGAAACCTTAGCTGAAGTGGCCATTTGTGCTATCTAATTAAGGAACAATCATTTTCCCTGAAACTATAACAGTTTGTTGATTTTATTATGTATTTTTCTATTTCTAAGTCTTATTAGTTAATGTTTTCTGTCTTTTTTACTCTTTATAAATTTTTTATTTTACATATAAATTGTGCACCTATAACACTGTTCTCACAGACCAATATGGCTTTTATAAAGAGAGAACACAACAGAAGCTTTGTGTTTCCATACTCTCTCTAAGTTCCCCAAGACTCATACAAACAGAGCAAGCAGGGAAGGTGGGAATAATAATTCTTCTGATTATTCAATTGCTACTGAAATCTTTAAATGATAGACTTTTTTTTTTTAGCAATGCAGTTATGACTAGCCTGATACATATGTGAAAAAGCCAAAAAAACTTTTGGGCTGCAATGTAAATATAAAGTATTCATTTGTAACATTTCATTTACCTAACTAGAAAGATTAAACAAATATGTGTGAATGTACTTTTAGTTCTGAGCATAATAAAGACAAAATATATTAATAAAAAATATACAATTCGCCTAAAACACAAAACATAATATAAATACTTGGGCTGGCATTGCTGACCTCTCCTTTTCAGAATGTTATTGTGTTTTAGCTAGAACATGTTCTGATTCACTAAGGTGTCCGTTTATGAACCAGCGGTAATAGATCGCTGCTCAGTTCTCCGGCATTCTCGGAGAACACAGTTCTCCTGTGAATGTAGTTTATGAAGCAGTTCTCCGAATGAAGGGAGAACGATCTCCAAACGCTGCAGAACGGTCTACAAACTCTGGAAAACGGATGATTTTACTATAATCTCGCGAGATTACAGTAAAAGATCAGTTTACTAAACAGAGGTAAATTATCTCTGCTTAGTTTGCGGTCCCTCTGATTCTCCAGCTCTGGGCTGGAGAATCTGGAGGGAGAACATAGATCTCCAGTGAAGGGCTGACATGATCTCCTGAGTGTCATAAACTGTGAATGACCAGAGAATAGCTGAGATCCGTTGAATCGCAGCTATTCTCTGTGTCATAAACGGACACCTTTCTAAGAACACATATGGAGATAAAGAATTTCCCCACTTTTCTGACACTCAGACAATGCGTGTTCTAAGCCTGTGACTCAAAAGTAATTGTAATAAAGCCAGACACAGCCTAATAATATTTTCAGAAAGAAGCCAGTAATGGCAGTTTCAAAACCTATCTAAGGATGGATGTATTTTAACACCCTGTTGCCCTGTAGCTAACAAAATCTGTTTTCTTTTTTTTTTTTTTTTACTTTATTCCTGATCTCTTTTTTTCCTGAATCAATGTTTCTGTTTGATTGTGACCTTGGCCTGCCTATTGACTGCCTGCAGATTTGGCACCTTGCTGTGTACTTAATCAGGGAACATAAAAAAGTCCAGAAACCTTCATGGGATAAATAGGATGGTAGGTTGAAAATTGTTATTCACATACAGTACAATAATATTTCCTTAATTTGCTTTTACTTTTTAATATTTACCTATACCAGTTCACCAAGGCACCAACTTACTAGCCCTACATTGGATACAAACTCCCTTGAGTCTCATACTTAGGCCACCAGAGGTATAGCACATTTCAGTGCACTTTAACATCAGGTCAGTGTTTTAAAGGGGAGGTATGCCGTCTTAATTTTCCAAATCTCTTAAAACACAAACTTGATTCTGATAAAGATATAGGCTGACATCAGTACAGCATATCATATTTTATTAATCCCAGGCTTGCAGTGATTTTTTTTTTTAATTTAGATAGATGCTCTGCATACTCAGAAGGCGCCCAAGAACAGCAACAGTCCTGTTAACAGTCCTCCAAGCCCTACACCTTGCAAAAACAACCAAAAAAAGACAACAAATTTGGAGCCTAAAGTACAAAACTTCAAGACACCTCTGCTGCAAAAACATCTACTTTCATAGGCCTTCCACAGAAGTTCAAATTATTAATTTAAAAAAAGAGAAAAATGTATCTGACTCATGCAGATAACATTTGACAAATATATTTTATTACAAGACCCACATAACCCCACATATGGTGGAATGTTGAAAAGAGACCCAAACCATGAAAATTTTTAACTGAAAAAAAAGCAGGTTCTGTATTTTTGCAAAATACGAAAGTACTCTAAAACTATCCAAATGCTAGATTTTGCATTTAAAAAGATACTAAAGGTGCACTTAAAAAAAAAAACAACAAGTCATACTTACCTGCTCTGTGCAATGTTTTGCACAGAACAGCCCTGATCCTCCTCTTCTTGGGTTCTCTTCCAGCGCTCTTGGCTCCTCCCCCCTGCTGCATGCTTGCTCTCGAGCCCACCTCTGTGGGTCCATAAAACACACAGAGTGAGGCTTGGCCCCACCCCCGCTCCCACCTCACTGGCTGTGATAGACAACATCAGAAGCCAAGGGCTCCCGCTGCTGTGTCTCAGCCAATGAAAAGGGAGAGACCTGGGAGAGTCCCTGCTCTGGTGCACATTGCGATCGGGCTCAGGTAAGTATTATGGGAGCTGAGGGGGGAGCTGCACACTGAAGATTTTTTCCTTCATGCATAGAATGCATGAAGGTAAAAAACCATCAGGCTTTAAAACCACTTAAAGTATTATGTATGTGACTGTGTAAACATTTTGCTTAAAAATGTAATTTAACAACTGTTTTCAACACATCTTTCTTGTGATTTAACTGGTTCACAAAGACGAAACAATATCAGTACTCATTAATGCAGACAAATCTTTCTTTAAAAAAATCAAAATGTGCTTTTGTGCTGCAATCAGGTTTTCTAATGGCCTCTATTGTCAGCATCTGTCTAGTGCAGTTGGAATTACCTCTGTAATGCATCTTAGTTTTGCTGAATTTCTCTGCTGTACACAGAGATTGAATTCTCCTATCTCAGGAGAGCTGAAACCTGGATGCCATACAACTTCACATTCTAGATCTTCATAGGCATCAACAATGCCTGAAATATAAGTAAAATGTATATGAAAATGTTTATGCTAAAATCACACAAAAAAAAAAATTATTGGAAAAAGAAAAGTACATCCTTTTGTTTTTTTTTTTCACATATGACAGCACAACAAGTGTTTACATGCATACATCGTCAGTAAACATCTTTCACTAAATCAATACCATAATATACTTTTTTCTACAGATTATCCAGTCAGCTTGGTAAACGAACATTACCCAGTCTCATACTACAGATGATTACCAGGTAAGTGAATTAGCCAATGAGCTTGCCTGAGGTTTATTGGATATGTATAATATTTACTGAACAAATGTAATGCAATTTAAACAGCCAATGCATGCTTACTTGCAAAACTACAGTATGTGTATTGTGGGGTCTCCAGGCTGCTGCACAGGACCTAGGATTCTCTATGACCTCTTTATTCCAAGCTTTTCCTGGCCACACATCTCAGAGGCCTTAGGGCCCATTCACAATCAAACATTGTGTGGGAAAGACCCATTTAATGCGCGTTTTCCACACCACACTTGAACACTTGCTAAATGCGTGTAGGTGTCAATTATTAATGGAACCCCAAGCACATCTGTACTAAATGGAATATGCTGCATTTGTGCCCACCAAATCGCATTTTACCACAGGCAAAACTAGAACACGTGGGAACATGTGTGTGTGAACACAAGAATTTACATGTGAACTGACCCTTAGGCTTTTTGATGCTTCCCTATTAGTATGTAATTTTGCTGCCACAGTTGCATAAGGGACAGAGACCATCACTTCACAGAACAGGGCGACTCTTTCCAGTCCTGCTTTCTCCCTTCTCATTTTATTGCCAGCTGCATTTAGAAAACATAGTGGCTGCTAAAAAAAAAACAAAAAGATAGGGAGGACTAGGGAGAACTACAACCTCCCTGTTACATGCCTGTTTCCTGTAAAGAAGAATAATAGTTCTTACAGAGCATCCTGTGAGGCAATAATTACATCACTTTTGTTAGATGTAATCACTTTCCACCAATGCTGAGAAACAAATTAGACATGATGACATATGGGTGATATGAAATACATACAGTAACACAGATTTGCAAATATGCATGCATGCACAATTTTTCACTCAACTGTCTGCATTACAAAATTGATATTTGGTTCTGCTTTAATGACAGCATTAATGAGTTTATAAACTTAATTTTGAGGATGAGGGTGATTGTGGGGCATTTAGTAATATGCAGGATGTTTGTAAGTAAATTTGTAAGGCTTTGACTCAAACTAGTCGTTAGATGTTCTGGGATGTTTTTGTTGTGGGGGAAGTCTTATAAAATAAGGGCTCCTAAAAACCTAGAAATCCATTTTACTGGTCCTTGGCTAGCTACTTTATTATTGAATCTCTGAAAATATGCAATCTGAAAGCAATCAGCTATATATATTGTTACATTTAAATAAAACCTACTTTGTTTCATTCACTTACCATCTTCATGCATGCTTTCACTAAACTGGAGAGCAGTGTGGACTAGGGCTATAACAATATAAAAAAAAAAAAAAAATACTAACAGTATTTGTATTTAATAAATCACAAACAATGCTGTAGCTGAATTACCTCTTGCTGGGCGTATTGAAAAAGCTATTCCTTTTTCAGTTATGATTGGCTTCCAGCTAAATTCAGCTGGGTGATTTCTGCGATTGTATAATCTTATGGACGATCTAAATCCTGTCTCAGCTAAAAAGTCATTGTTCGGTTTCAGAATCAGCTCGTGAGATGACAGCTCAAGGGCAACAGGAACTGTTTTTGCAGTTACAAGGATGTGACCAACATGTTTGCTGTTTACAGTGTAGGTAATTGACCTGTAAAAAGTATTCAAAAAATGTATGTTTTAATACTCTTACAGTAGCTTAGGTTAACAGTCATATAATAACCAGCAAAAAGAGCACAGTGAGCCAATTGCACAGAACATACCACACTGTTTAATGTCTGATCACTCAAAGAAAAAAGACATATATATCTATTACTTTTTCTAGTGCTTGTGATCTTAGCTATAGCTTCAGGGTCACAAAGAATTGCATCTGGGAACCATGTTAGCTCATAAAGGTGGCTGATGAAAGAATATGTTTAAAGAGCCTATCTATTAATAATGAGGGCATAAAGTCCTGGTGAAGCCTGCAGTACTAAATAAAATGCTGACAGTAACCAAAAGGTTATTCCCTAAAGTACAATAACTTTAAAGATGTTAACTGCTTGACTTCCGCATAGTAAAAGTACATTTCTGACAGCTGGTATACATACTGTATTTTTAATGTTATATAAAATAACTTGAACAGCATTATGCTATATATTTTCTAATGTATCCTAAGTTTCTGGGAAGAGATGTGCCTTGTCATATTTCTATGAATTCATTAATAATTTGCCAATACAGTAATAAAAATATTGTCAAAATAACATATGGTGACTTGAGAGACAGTGCACTTGGAAGCCTGTCCCTAGCTGGTAAGAGTAGAGAGTAGGTAAAACATGTTGAAATAAAATCAGATTCCTGTGTAGAAGGAGAAATGTGGGCACTGGACCTTTACATTTTCTTTTTCCCTCACTACTAATTCCTTTCCTTTACAACCTCCCAGCCCTTTTCTCAGAAACTATATAGATTTTTCTCAACTATGGAGAATTTTGAAAATCAGTATAGCCGAAGACTGTCATCACAGTGAGAGCAGGCTAACAGGTAGACAAGGGATAGCAGAAATACATGGAAATGGAGATTTACAGCTCAGGAGCAGCTGTGCTAGCTCTGGGCAGAGTATAACGTTTACAATTGCCCAGGGCTAGTGCAGCCATCTCTCTGTTACCTCTCAATTTTCTGCATAACCTCTGATGACCTAGGCTGAGGATGGAAAAAAGACCAACCAACATATATGTGCTGACGCAAAGCTGGGTACTGCCACTATTCTCAAAGTTTATTCCCTGTCCTCATCCTGGATAATGTGGTGGACTCTAAGCAGAGAAATCATGCCACCAAAGCTGCAATTTACAACATGGCGTGTCCTGGTGGTGGCCATTGTTCTTAGAAGATATCTACAATACTTGTCTGTGGTCACTATAAATAGAAGGAAGGGCTACTTTACAATCCATCTAAGGAGATCAAATCATTGGACTAGTGCAGCTAGCTTTAAGGGACAGTTTAATTCCAACGGGGTTGATTTACTAAAACTGGAGAGTGCATTATCTGGTGCAACTGTGCATAATAGCCAGTCAGCTTCTACCTTCATCTTGTTCAAAAAATCTGGAAGCTGATTGGCTTCTATGCAGAGCTGATTTTGCACCAGATTTTGCACTCTCAAGTTTTAGTAAATCAACCCCAATGCATTTAATAATAATACACAAAAACCTCCAGGGTCTGCATGAGTTTTTAGTGACGTTTCTGAACCAGGATCCTACAAGAGAGCCTGTCAATTGCTATTCAGATTAAAAAAATAATAATTCTTACTTCTTAAATTTCCCTAGTGAGTTTGTTTCAAAGACAACAGGGATGTCAGTCTTTGACATAGGTGGCACAACATGAGAAAGGGGGCTAGTTTGCTGCAGCTCATCACAGTCTATCTCCACTTGAACCCAGATGTACATGGGAAGACTATTTATGATGTTCAGTTCTTTAATTGATGTGGAACGTACACAGACTTCACCAAAATCTATTGTGGAAGGACCTGTAAAATGTAAACGAAAATGTTACAAACATGAATATACACAAACATAATTAAATCTTGTTAAGATTTTTATTTATTTGTGAAAAAAGGCAATAAGCTCCCTCTTGAATTAGTTCATGCAATTCTTATATTAAATTTACAAACATCTACTACCGCTAGGGGTTATGTACCCCAATGGGTTGGCATAGAGGCCTTATCTTGTCATCCTTATGCTATTGGCGCTCACATGTTGCTTCCCAATTGTTTGCGTCCTCCTATCCTTTGTCCTACATTGTCCTATTCCTTAACGATCTGAGATAGATGGCAGGCTCGCAAACCTCTCTGCTCTCTACATACCCCATTAGCTCCTGTTTTTTGTAACTCTGAGTTTATAGTTTAACCCTGACCTATCACCATCTGCATTTCAATGGTGGATAAATAAGGGTTTTTTGAATATTGGGGATTACCTGGATGGACTTCGTCCTCGTTCTCTCCAATACTTTTTGACAACTTTTCAGATGCCCTCCTGTGAACTGTTCCATTATCATCAGCTTATATCGTTTATTGCTAGTAAACACAAGTTACTCATAGAACCTTGCACACTCACCCCTCTAGAGATCACCTCTGGGGCTACTGGGAGGATGAAAGGTCAATTATCCAATATCTATGCTTCCCTTGTTTATCCACTCACCAAGCTATTGATTCAATGGGAAAGGAATCTGAACAGCTTATTAGACTTAGACACTTGGCGGACTACGGCCAATACCCTATCTAACATTTCTTATCTAGTTCTGACACGTCTTGCCAAAATGTACCCATCCGTGTCACCCAATTGCTTTAGACACTATGGACGGGAGGGCACTATGCTCCATGTATGGTGGAAATGTCCAGTGGTTCATTGATTTTGGATCCGAATGTTTAATTTCCTTTATTCAGTAATGGGAATCAATATACACAGAACTCCGGAGGTAGCTCTATTTTACCTGTTGCCCACTGATTATCCCAAGGAATCAGTTAAATTAATTCTTTATATTTTGTTAGCAGCACGAATTACAGTAGCTAGAAGTTGGAGACAGTCATCTATTCCACTAGATTGGGTCAAACGAAAACTTAATTGGATTATGATAAATGATTAACTTATGAGTATAGTTAACAATAATACTTCTAAATTTGAGGCTACACGGGAACCATGGATTAGGTATATCTCTATCACTTAATGGAACTGCGGCTGACCCTCTCTTTTCTATTTTCTTTTTTCCTCCTCTTTCTTTCCTCTTCCTCCCTTCTTCTTTTCTTTCTTTTTTCCTTGTGTTATGTTCTTGTTTATTTTGTTTTTTGATATTAAACTGCCCATGTTTACTGACCAATGAAACATTTGCTACCATATGGGGGTTGTATTCTTTGTTTACAATATCATTGATTGATACTTCTTACGTGCCTATATTTTTATGAACCTGCTTATTTGCCTCAACTCACCATGTAGGTGGGCTATGTTTTTGTGTTCTTGTTCTTGTATATTACTTTTTCAATAAAAATATTGAAATATAAATTTACAAATATCATATAAACTTTTTTTAGAGTAAATATAGAGGACTTTTAGGCACCCAAGAAAGACACTAGAAAAATAATGATAAAAGATTGTTTTTACAAATCTTATTGCAAAGACCATAACATGATTAAAAGTAGTGCAATGGCTGATCATAAGGTGTAGGGTCAAAAATGGACTTTTAATGATCTCACAATAAATAAATAGAATATACTGAATTTCACCCTGTAACCCTGTAGATCACTGATGGGTACACCCATCAATCGAAATGAACCACTATTACATGGAAAAACCTGTATAAACATCACTGATCCACAGAATAATTAGCAAATAAGTACCGATACATAGTGAATAAAAGAATATGATGTAATTTGAGATGAATATTACATGATGGATGCCCAAAAGAGGATCATAGTAGATACTAAGCCCTAACGTGTTTCAATTACATGTACTCTTCCTCAGGGAATATTAACAATGCAATAAAGATCTTTTTTTATTGAGTAACTTTATTGACATGTTCAGTTCATGACATTACTTAATAAAAAGAGTCCAATGCTCCATTTTTAATATCATGTTTTCTTGTAGATTACTTTCCACTTATCTCCCCCTGAGGAAGATTATGTGTAATTGAAATGCGTTGAGACTAAGTATCTACTGTGATCCTCTATTGGGCATCCATCATGTAACATTGTTCTCATATGACATCATGTTTTTTATTCACTTTGTATTTGTACTTATTGTCTGATTAATCAGTGGATCAGTGGACCTGTGATTGACAGAGTTACAGAGTGAAATTCAATATATTCTGTTTATGTATTGTGAAATAATTAATGGTTCATCTTTGACCCAACACTTCATAATCAGCCATTGCACTACTTTTAATCATTTTTATGGTCTTTGGAATAAAGTTTGTAAACAATCTTTTACAATGACTTTGTTTTGTGTCTATCTTGGGTACCCAAAAAAGTAATCTTTATTTACTCTAAACAATTGTATTTATTTTTATTTTTTGGGGGGGATTTGGCACATCAAGTTGAAACAGATCATGTTTTCTGTTTAATTTTAATCTAGTGCATGTATTCATTTATTTATCTGTTTTATAAATTATATAGTTCATATGTGAATAGACTGATGAAGAAGAATGTTTGATCAAGGCTTTTTACAGCCTTATTTCTATTTCTCAGCTCTTACCTATAACTACTTGATGAAGTTGCTGAGGTGTCAGTTCCAGGCTGCAGTCTTCCTTCTCAGATACAGTGCATGGCATTGCATTAAGCCCCTCATTAATCTAAAGTAAAGGGCACAATGTATTATTATGATAAAATAATAGCAGAAAATGCCAAGTAAGGTACGTATATGAAGCCAACGTTTTCAACTCAGGCGGTGCCTCAGGTTCCAAGGACTGCC